TTTTAACTAATCTCATCCTGCAAATCCACCCTAGCAGGCTTGCTCTCCATTGTGATTGGAGAATAGACTTTTTTGGGCCGCTTTCAAAAGTAACATCTGCTTGAACAACAAGCACCCATTCCTTAGCTGGGCGGAGAATCGCTCCCCAGAACATTTCCCCCTGTTTCTGTGCTCACAAACAGAAAATGAGAATTCTTGTCTCTTACCCTTAGGCAACATCCTTTCTAGCTAGGATTTGGTTATAGTCTCTCAGCGGGTACTGACTGCGATTTCTCTTATGGAGGAATACAGCCTTTTTACGGCGTTCGATATCATGTTTCACCACCACTGGGGCAATTAACAACAACATCCCGCCGACTCCGTCGGCGCCTTTGGAACGGCAGTGGGCCGAGAACGTTTTTTTCCCTCCTCTCAGTAATAACGAAGGGCATAAACTACTCAGGGAGGCCAGGCCGAGAAGGAAATCACCTCAGTAAATCACTGCCGTACACGCAAAACCGCCGGCCGAAAAAAAACGGCCCCAGCCCACCTCCGCCGGCAGCCGACCGGCCCGGCCCTGCCCTCCGGTTCACAAACAGCCATTTTCACTTTCCGGCACGAAACGTTCGCTGCAGCTCCCACCTGAACTTTAAACGTGCGTAGGCTTACGCAACGCAACCAAACGGTCCCAGACATAGATTAAACATGTTGGTTTTCCTGCACAGAGTTATCCTGTGGTGCTCTGCAATCAATTACTGCTATACCACCATCATTAATAATTTTCTTAATGAAAATGATTCTGTTGATCTCCGTTGTATTTTAATTATCAGAGTTAAGCATAATTACACTGCAGCTCTGAGCTGGCATGTAGACTCCTTTAGGGCGCAATTTTGTTTTAACACACTGATAATGTAATTTTACATTGTGTCAGTTGTTTAGTTATTATCCAGTCGTACAATTCCGCTGTATTCCTGATAACAGATAATAACCTTAGCACCTCCTATATCCTGAAGTCATTTAAAAAGCAATATTGGAATTTCACAACTAGCTAACTTAATCGCCTTATGATTTTATAATTCCCACAGCTAAATATTTGTATCGGCACCCTGTTTTAACAACGCCACTAAACATACGGTATCCATACATTTCACATAAATGGTTTAAATAGCATCTACGAAAACGTGTGTTATATGCGCATGTGAGCATGTTTTTCAGTCTGCAGCAACGACCTTCTCCTACAGTTCCTGTTCTGTTCTGTCTTACTGCATTTTTTTAAATCCCTTCCTTTCCCAGTGGAAGATTTACATTCAATACCCCGGCCCCTTCCCAGGTTGCCGTTGGACTCCTAGCTCTGCTTTTACAGCTTTACCAAACCTGGTGCACAATTCTCTTAGGCATGAATGTTCCTCAAGTACATTAAGTTGCGACGATCATACAGTTCATGCATGAATACCTCCTTCACAAGTATCTGTATCTCGAATTACTGCAACTCTGTAGCTCTTTTGAAAGAATATATTTGTAAATCTATGTAAGTACAGTTTCTAAAATCTGTCTTAAAATTTCAGATACTACATCTAGAAGATCTCTTAAATTACTGAACAGTCTATTTTCGAGACATGAGGGAAGTCTGACACAATTATTAAAACAAAAAGAACATGCTTTTTTGTGTAATTATAGTTGTAAATGTTTCCTTTACAAAAAAATGAAAGGCATAATGACACATGTCATGAATGTAACCAGCTTGTATCAGAGCTTGTAAAAAGGGTTACTAATGAACTGTTTTTCCCTTTTCTAATTTGTCTTAGAGCTGCTGAAATGTAGGTTTAAAGAATACAGGCAGCAATAAGTTATTCTAGACTAAATAAATTTTCAGATGTTGAAGAATTATTTCATAGCTATTCACCATGAATCTACTCTGATGCATGAATTTAAATAACCTTAAGTTTCTTAATCTACAAATTTATATAAAGCTGAATTGAGATTCCACTGTATAAACACAGCAACGCAATCCTCTATATGTGCATCATATATATACACACACTTTTCATGTTTACTTATGTAGTGAAAATATTATGAAGAATTTTAAAGGCAAACAGAGATTTGGCTGGCCAGGTCAGATTCACTTTCAGTAGGAACTACATGCTAATCTCCTCTGTTGATTTTGAACATCTCCCTGTGATTCTTCTGTGTGCAATATGTGGGTGACTACAGTGCCTGCAGCTTCTAATGAACTGGAAGTCAAGATGACATTCCTACGCTCTTGCAAAAAATCTGGGGAAAATTCTATTCTCAAAGGTATCGCCATAATAAGCTATAAAGAAATCTGGCATGTACTTCCAAGTCAGAAACGGATTGACCAGTAACATTTAATGCTGGCCAATTCTCCAACTTATTTTCCTCTTAGAAATCTGCCAATTTAGTCTACTCATCTTATCTTGGGTATAATAGTGAGAAAAACAGCTCCCAGGTGACCAAATCAAGTACATGTACAATTCCACACGTTTTGTTCAGCTGATTGCCTTCAGAAATAACAATATATTGCTAAACAAACTAACAAAATTATACACATGCAATGGCAAAATAACATCGAATTACAACTTCACGCTAGCTGACACCATTTCATTAGAGGTAATGGCACTACAGGAGACAGAAAGCTAACACAAATCAAGGCAACATAACCTGGAATGATGAGATATAAATTGAAGGAAGAAACATTATTGCATTTATTTATTTTACCATCTTCTATTTGACATTGTTTTGTGATCCAAACCAATTAATCCTTCTAGTACAAAAATCCTGTTGGGTTCAACATCAGTGTAGGTACTTCATGAACAACAAAACAGCCAACTGTTTTGCAAAGAGATGAACAGAATATACTGAAGACAAAGCACATCTGCAACTTATTTCCCACATTCTTTTAGTGAAGCTGCAGGTATTTAACATGTATTTATCAATTATAGTTCACTTTAGTTATAATATGCATTTGTATTGTGTGGTATAGATATCAGAAATTATCTTGAACACTGTACAATTATTGCACAATACCTTGCTACCAAATACTAAAATAATAAGCATCATTAGTGCAACAAAATGCGACATATTTGAATGAAAAGAATCCAGTTAGATTGTGCCAAACTGAAGAAAGATTTTAGTATTTGAAAAATAGTTCATATTTCAATAGATTCAATCACACAGATAGCGCTGAAAATTTATAATGAATTAGTTAGTGTTTGTAAAGTACTTTGAAGATGGAAAATCCTACTGGTATATATGTGCTAAGCATTATTATAATTACAGTTAGAATATAATACTTGATAAGACAACATCCTATGGGAATTTTCAGAAGCTGTATTTTGGAGTGAAAGTAATTTCTCATTATATTACAAGAAAGTTGCAGAAAAGTTTGCTTATGAACTGTATTCAATAATATGAATGGCAAACTGGAGTTCTGGATTCATGAGAAAAGCTTCACTATATTATACTGAGAACACTTTGCAGCTTTTTCTACTTGGGCAGCAATCAGAAAGCTGCAAAGGAAGGGCAGCTCAACCCTTTTTAGATATGAGCCCAGTTCTCCAGTACTGCAGGTGTTTCAGGTTGCAAAATGAATGTGTTGGCATTCTGTAATTATAATAGAAAGAATTTATAAGACCCTGGTGTGCAACTCAGTTTTAACATGCAAATTCCCTGTTTGCAGCGTTTCAACTTTCAAAGGCTTATGGCAGTTTAAAAGCAATCCTCTTATAAGTGTATAAATTGCAATGATTATAGGAACAAGTTGTAATTGTTTCTAGTAAGTTTTTAGGAGTCTTTGATGTTATGATTAGTGTTTTGTATGTTAATATATTGATATGGGTGCTTATTTGCTTGGATGCTTGTATGCTGAAATGGTCACTAGGTTGCCTCAGCAAACAAATCTTTGATCTCAGTAGGTCTGTTTGGTTAGAAATAAAACCTAAAAGAAATTAAACAAGAGCAGTGTATGTGTTCTGAAGTATTCACAAAGTGCTGAGTTTGGTGACTGAAATACAAGGAAGGAAAGTCATAGTTATGCAACCTGATCTTCAGTAGGAATGCCAAAAACAGCTACACTAAATAGGTTATTTTCATTCCAGGTATTCAAGTAGCTTTTATAACATGCTATTATGATACTATAATCACATGTACAGAGCTTTTGCAGTGACTGACTAAACAGCATGGTGCTGCATAGTCCGGGGTACTATGAGCTGAATTCAATGTCTTCGCATCTGCCAAAGTAGCTGTTAGATGCAGTAGCTTAGATGCAGATTGCTGGGTAGGACCGGGGGTGAGGGGGTGGTCTCGTAGAAGCTTATATTCACCTGAGCAAATCTGACAATTCATGTAAAACAGAAACAATATGCATTCCAGTAAGTCGCTACATTACAGTGAAGCATCATCACATCCTGCTGCCACACAGAAACTGGAGTGTTCCTGAATACTGCAATGTCAAAGGTAACAATCCTGAAGTCCAGTTGCACTTATGTTCTCTTATTGTGCTGACATGAGTTTTTATCATAGTCCAATCAAGTTTGAATTCTTCTTATAAACTAAGATTTCAATTAGTAATCTGCAATGCAATGTAAAATGCAGAAATGCAATCTAGTATGTCATATAAAATGTCAGAAAGAATGCACTTATTTAAAGTGTATAATTACAGACCTGAGTTTCCCAAGAGGCACTAAGTCTCAGAGAGAAGAGGACAGTATGTCTCATGTCAGCTTATGTCCCTCTGTGTTTGTAAAACATTTAGTACATTACACACACCATGTGGGCTTTTTTATATAGAGAAAAGAAGAGAGAAAAGAAAAGAAAGGAAAGGAAAGGGAAAGAAAGGAAAAAGAAAAAAGAAAACAACATGGTAGCAAAATAGGAATGTAAACCAATACAGTTTAAGACAAGGGAAAACAAACTAGTCCATTTCCCTAACTATTCTGCAATAAGTATATTTTGATGCTAATATCTTGCAGAAGAAAGTAAGAGAAAAATTGGCTTGTGTTTACCTTTGCTGTACACAATGCAGTTGTTTTTGTTGTCTTCCACTCCTTGCCAAGTCACATCCAGCAACCACTTGGGGCCAGCAGTCAGTACCATAGGGACTGAAGCCTTTGTCTTCTGTAAGAAGGATGATAACAAACAGATGCCATTTGCTTGCCTTGATTAAGAACTTGAATAATAATAGTAATAATCATTTTATTTGCAAACAACAAAATCTCCAAACCCATAAGCCAAGGTCTTATTCCCCTGCCTCGGGATTTTTTTTAAGACAACACAAGCAGTAAGCTTTAGTTCTTTCATTGATTTGAATGGGAGAACTATTATCAAGGATTTTTCCGAATGATATTGGATCAGATCTCCAAGATTAAGCAGATCTCTGGTGACTCTGAATTATAAAGGGAATGCAGATGACTTTCACAGCAAAGAGCCAAGTGTTTAGAAGTGAACTTTAGACACATTGTACTTCATTATCAACAGGATCTCACTATTTCCTGAAACAGACAGGAAAGAATTTAAAGAATCAGTATCCATTTCAAAGATCTGTCCTGGGTAACATTTGTATTATCATAGGAAATTGTTCTGAATGGATAATGTAATTTTTCCCCTTTTGCTAAGTGTTGATGTGCGATTTTACTATGGTTGAAATAATAATAATGCTAATGATTCCCTACTCTTTGTCTCCAGAAAGACTGTAAAAGAAGTCGTATGAACAAATTCAAATGCAGAGAAGTAAAGCATGACATTCATTGCTCTGGAAAGCATACAGGCAAGGTATGCATATTTAACAAAACAATCATCTCCTGTATATATTTTAGATGACATATTTAGAGAATTTGGTATTTGAGGAGATAAGGTAGAGGCTTCAAACTTATCTTCACTTAACTCCTCTTACTAATCAAATGGTAAAAACTGTGCGTAATCCTGACTTTGTCCTTCAGTAAGTGGTACTGAAATGCCACTTACATTTCCAGCATTCACAGTTCTTGCTCCCTGTACCAAACATGAAACCACGACACAGAGTACAAAGTACAATAGAAAAATCATGAAGTAACCTTTTTTTTTAATCAGAGACATAATCTTATCCAAGACATTCCAAACTTTTATAAGAGCATTTGCTATAATATTTTCTATTCCATTACTAATTCTACAGCTGGCTCCTGCAACGTTCTGTTGTGATATTCTATACGATTAAATGAGTTCAAAAATATCAAGACATAAAAAATCATATATTCACATGGAGATTCCAGATGCTCTGGCCTTATTTATTACCTAAAACTGTTCTAGAAATGAAGTTACCATAGCACATACTACACTCCTAGACTATACAGGAAAAGATTTATTGAAAATAAGACATTATTTAAAACATTTTATTCATATAAGGACATAGTATTACACATCAGTATTTTGATAAAGATGCTGGAATAAAATGTTGTGTATTCACATAGTTCTTCATATTTTTCATTTATTCATCATAGTTTTTCCAATTTTTTCAGTTGTTTTTGATCCTTTTATTCTCTAATACTGTTTCATCAAATATAGTATTTCTTGCTTATTTTATATTTCATATTTTGCATTTTTGTATAAATGATTAAGTTGCACTTTTTGTATCTGCTTTCCACTAAACTACATTAGTCATCTTTCAGAAGTGTTGGAAAAAATCAGATATAAATGAAGAACGAAATTAGTAAAAAGGAACGTGAAATCTAGTGACAACATACCTACTTAATGTATAAATACTGAAAACAGAAAAATGGCATGTCTCACCTTCTAATATTGTTTTTTGTACAGGAGGTGCAGAAGTAACAAAAAGTATCTTTGATTATGTGAAGTTTTACATTATAAGAGTCAGCCATACTGCATGGGTTTGAAATTTCAATTTAAAGCCATGTTCTTATTGGCCAGTTAATAGAACCTTTTTTTTTTTAAATTTGGTTATTTTCATACATAAATTGTCAAGAAGCCTGATATTTCCAATTATGAAATCAGTAGATACTATTTACATGTCGACTCTAAGGAGAATTATGATATAAATAAGGCATGAACTGAAAAAGATCAGAAAGACATAAAATGGAAGATAATCAAAATATCATCTCTGTCTTCAGTTAGAGAAACGTCTGAATTTTTAGTTTAATTTACCCCAAAACAGCATAAGGCTGCTTTTGAAAGAAGGAAAAGTGGCCTTCACATAGCTGAGAATCATACCTATAATAAACAACAAAAAAACCAAGCTTTAGCACCAACGTTAGCAACTATGGCTGCAAAGCAATAAGGAAGAGGAAGACCAAGGCCTGTTCCTACCACATGCTGAATTTCTCCAACTGCCATTTCAGTCCAGCCATTAATGTGTTTTTTGTACTTATATAAAAACTTGCTCTTAGTCTCTGGTAATCCCAAGTGTAATCAACTGATAGTGGAATACTATTCAGGCAGTGGACTTTTCCAAATATGCTATACGTGATTCAAGCATTCAAACACTTGTTTTTTTTTTTTTTTTTTAAGCTGGACACTAAGCTAAAAAAAAAAAATCTTCTACTAAGTGTAGAAAGTGATATCTATTTAATTTTCTACAAGATCTACTTCCTATTTCTGGTTTTCTTCTTCCCAGATATCTGACATTCTTTCTTTCCCTCCCTTCTGTAAGAGTATTAATATTTGCATTAAGGTGGCTATGGTACACTATCTACATAGACAGGACAAACAAAATGGGAGGGAAAGGATTACACTTAACCACATACTGCTGAGGAAGAAACGAGATGCAGAGATAGCGTGTGATTTTCTCTTGGAGATTAATTTCTCCTTCAATAAATTGAAGGCTTAGTCCCATGTCACTGCTCCTGTTTTTAGACAAAAACAGGAGACAAGGTGGTGCCTCATCTGTTCTGGTGTGGAGTCTTTGCAACACCAGGCAGGCTGAACGCCAGCAGTGATGATGTGAGTCCATGTTGCAGTCTCCCGCTTACAGTTTTGCATGAAGCTTAAGAAACTACATGGAGATCACTAAATTAGCTTCCAGATCAGCTCTGCAGTAAAACTTGTAATCAGTTCAGCAGCTGTGAGTGGTTACTATGTGCTAGAGATAGGCGGGAGGAGAAACAGGGTGTTTCTTTTCACAGCTCTGCTACTCCAGAAGAACTGGTGGACACCTCAAAAGAATCTCCCACTCTCTCATAGCTCTGCTCCCAAGCTGTACAGATATGTAAATAAACTTCTTTTAATATGAAAGCAAAACTTCACAAGACCCTGGCTGCCTGTAAAGCTTGGCAGCTCAACTAAGGGAGACGGCCAGTGACTTCTCTTTGAAGTACCTCAGAGGCATATTATATGAGCTGTAAGATGAGTCAGCGTGCTCGTTATGGACCACAGTAGCGTTACTTGGGGGTCTGGAGTTTTGTAAGGTTCACACGTTCACAGGAGATGTTCGCTAGTGACAAAGGCTTGTTCCTGTTGTGGCTTGTTACATAGTAAGAATTGAAGCCAGCTTGCTGATTCCAGAAAGGCCATTTCCCTAAAATGGTTAAAATGAAAAGACCCCAGTCCAAGATAACAAGAAGCTATGGTTAAATCAGTCATGCCTTTATCACCTCAAGATTAGACTACTGCAATGCGCTATACCTGAGGCTACATTTTAAATCCATTTGAAAGCTGAAACTGGTGCAGAATGCGGCAACCCGCTTGTAAAGCAGCATATCGTGCTTTGAGCGCATTACACCAGCGCTTTCTAATCTGCACTAAGTGTCTGTGAGATTTAAGGTGCTGGTTATAACCTGAGAAGTCTGGGACCTGTCCGAGATACCTGTTTGAGATCTGCCCAGTCCTGTGCCCTGACCATACAACCACAGCTCAGATCCACCAAGGCACATGAAAAAGGGCTTTGAAGAAACTGCTGGCAAGGCAAAATGTTCTTCATGACAGCTCTTTACCTTTGGGACACCATCCTACTTGAAGTATGGTAACGCTCTGACTCTCAGAGTCAGAGTACTATGAAAATCACCCTGTAATTCAGAAGATGTATTTGTTTTAATGTAACGTTTAGTTGGTCATTCTCAAAACGTAGGGCAATTTAACTGCTTTATGTTATGACTTTTTACAGCGTATTAGGAGTATACCCAGCCTAAGAAAGGTGTCTTCTTATGTTATTTTAAATCTTAAAAACTAATTAAATGGTAATTGACTTCATCAATCTAACGTTTCTGAATAATTCCAAATACAGCCTGTTCCAAATTTTTTCATGAAACAGTAGCAACAATATTACAGCTGCTTAAAAATAAGACTTCAAAAATCCAATTAAACTTTATTTCTCCCTCCAAAAGAACTGCTACCAATTACTCAGATGCTTACCAGAGCATTCTGTCTACAGGCCAAGTAGTATAAATAGGAATCTGCCAAACTGGGTGTCCATAACATGAGACCATACAACAGGAATCTTAAATTTTGGAAATGATGGCATATAACAAAACTCCAGTATCGTTCACTTCTTTACGCTAGGTAGATGTGTTTTACCTGAAAATGCAATTTCTGCTAAAGTCTTCATATTCTTACATGCTGTAACCAGACAAATTTGACAAGGACAAACAGGGTTAAAAGCGTGATCTCTCAGGGAACAATTAGAACCAGCTAATGAGGATAAAAGAGGTCAGGCAGGCATCCACTTTTCACTATCCTTTGCATCAACTGGACAAACAAGGGAGGTAACCCTCAATAAATGTTTATATTCAGTCAAGAGGTTAATGGAGCTAAAGATAGCCAGCACAGTGGGCCGAAAATAGTTTTGCACCGCAGCTAAAAGGAATCAGTGATGACAAGGTAACGTTAGATGGCCTCTCCCCTCCAAAGATTTCTAACATATGATGTTAGAAAATTAGAAAATTTTAGAAAACGTGAGGAAACTCCTACACTGAAGGGAAATACGGCATGAGTAAGTTGTCTGAAATCCATGAACTTCTGATGTCAGGAAAGGGTTGCTCATCACTCCTAGCTGTTTTCTAAAAAGCTGTGTCAGAGCAAGTAATAGGTACTGAGCTAATAATGTTTAGTCAGTTAGTGTGACATGAATGTGTTGTCCCAGGCACACCATTTCAAAAACTGGTCTATTCACTGAAAAATCATTACTTTTCTAA